CCAATACTAGGATGTTGCAGCTTTCAATTCAACGCGGTAAGTGTACAATTCATTACTCACTAATCGTTTCTTTGATCAATCATTACTTCGAATTATGATTCTGATTAAGTAAGTTTTGATTTTTTTTTTTTTGTTATTTGTGTTTCAGCAAAGTTGAAGTTTCTCATGCCTCGGATCTCTGCTTTGGGAAATTCCCATTTCTCAACGGCGGCTCAATCATCTTCCAGTAAACACAATGCTCCGGTAATTTCAACAAGTTGTAGTGATGATTATTGATTGTTAACCTTCTTTGTTTTTAGTGAGTTTTTGTTAACCTTCTTTTGATTGTGTTCTATCAGAGGGTTCCCAATCTTATCGGGGGAAGGCTTCTTGACTCGAAAGCATCCAATTTCATCGATGTTATAAACCCGGTAGATGTTTTTTTTTTTTTTTTAATTTCTTATACACTGAGTTTAGAGTTGTGTGTATTTTTTGTGTTTGTTTGTAGTTTTGAGAAATGCAGACTTTTAATGTTTCTCTAATCCGATCATAGGCAACACAAGAAGTTGTTTCACAAGTTCCGTTGACTACAGATGAAGAGTTTAAAGCTGCTGTATCGGCAGCAAAGAAGGCATTTCCGTCTTGGCGTAACACTCCGGTTACGACGCGCCAACGTGTTATGTTGAAGTTCCAGGAGCTCATACGCAGAGATATGGTGAGCATCTTACAACGTTCTAGAAAACAAACGTGGTGCATTCTTTTGCGAATATAGACACCCCTTTAGTCATGCTTACTGTTAGAAATTTTTTATTATCTTTCGACTTTGTATTTGTTTTAGGATAAACTTGCTCTTAATGTGACCACTGAACAAGGAAAGACACTTAAGGATGCACAAGGAGATGTATTTCGTGGCTTAGGTTGGTCTTTATCATAAGTTGTTGCTTGTTAGCTCTTTGTAGCGACATCATAATTATGCTCATAATTTTTGGCAATGCGATTATTGAATACTTCTAATTTATATCATTTAGAGGTGGTTGAACATGCTTGTGGGATGGGAACTCTACAAATGGGAGAGTATGTTTCAAATGTATCACATGGAGTCGACACATACAGCGTTAGAGAACCAATTGGTGTTTGTGCTGGAATTTGTCCTTTCAACTTTCCTGCTATGATTCCCTTATGGGTAAGAACTCTTCTATCTTTTGGCTATTGAATTGATATATTGCCGTTCAGTAATTTGGTTCACCTTTATTTCTCATTTGCTTTCATCTCATCCATCATGTATGAAACAGAAAAAGTCAACTTTATATTTTATAGAATAATCTAGAAACAGTAAGCAAGAAAAACTTTGTATTACTTCTCTCCATATGATGGTTAATTCTCGCTGGCATGTGGTATTCATAAAAAGTTCTGACTGTCTGTTATTTGCAGATGTTTCCCGTGGCAGTTACGTGTGGCAATACATTTGTTCTAAAACCATCAGAGAAAGACCCAGGTGATGTTCACATTCTATCAATATCCTTGACTCATATTCTCAATTTATTGCAGGACACTGAGTTTCAACTTCCAAGAAATAGTATTATTGACATTCATGTTTTTCCTGACTGTTTCTTGTAGTCATTCCCAGCTTCTAAATTTCACTGTTGTGGTGTTATATCTTTACTCCAAAACACTTGGAGGATGAGATGAGACATGGTTGTAATTTTAATTTTCTTGTTTTTTCCAGGTGCTTCTATGATGCTTGCGGAATTGGCATTGGAGGCTGGTTTGCCCGAGGGTGTCTTAAATGTTGTTCATGGAACTCATGTATGCCATCATCCCTTTTTTAACTAAACTTTGGTTGCTCGCACGTTTCTTTTGATACTCACTAATCAAATATGCTCATTTTGCATTTGATGAGCTCATCATATTTCAAGTTAAATCTGAAAGTTGCATAAAATGTTGTTCAATGGCCGACGGCTTATTACTCTATGATATGTTTAGAATGAAAAAATTTTGTGCTTTATTTTTCTTATGGATTAATGTCCTTAATTATTGGTGACAGGATGTTGTGAATGCCATTTGTGATGATGACGATATTAAAGCCATATCATTTGTTGGTTCTAATGTTGTAAGTGTTCTAATCATTGTTTCATTTTCACTTCATTGACTTTATTATTTCCTCTTTTTGTTACCTGTTGTCCGAAAATTGAGTGATTTTTTTCGTTCGGTTGTGCATAGATAGAAAGATAAATAAAAGAGGGAAAGTGATTCAAATGCTAAGAATTTGCAAACTATTATCCCCTTTAAATTCTATTTTCTGCAAACACGTATTTGACGTTCTTATTTGTATTAAAGGCTGGAATGCACATATATTCAAGAGCAGCAGCTAAAGGAAAACGTGTTCAAGTAAGTGCAATTTGTTTCTCCTCTTTGTGAAATATTGGTTAATGTTCATGTAATAATACGAAGTATGGTTTGCAGTCTAATATGGGGGCCAAAAATCATGCAATTGTCATGCCAGATGCAAATGTCGACGCCACTGTAAATGCTTTAGTTGCTGCTGGTTTTGGAGCGGCTGGACAGAGGTGCATGGCTCTCAGCACAGTTGTTTTTGTCGGAGGCTCCCAACAATGGTATCATACTCCATTCTGTTTTGACTCATTTGTGTTTATCACTAATTTTTTGTTTGCATTTTTTTAATATAGGGTTTTTGCATTGACTGTTTAATCACAAATGATGAATATTTTATCGTAGTTCCAATTTCAATTTTCATAAAAAAACTAAAAAGATTGTCTAGAAAAAACCATGTTCAACTTTATCATCTTTTGACCTTGGAAATTGATTTTCATTATGACCTTAATTTTTTTAAATGCATTCTTCGCATTATTTATGCAGGGAAACGAAAATCATAGAGCGTGCGAAAGCTCTTAAAGTAAATGCTGGAACTGAACCTGATGCAGATCTTGGTCCGGTTATCAGCAAACAGGTTAGCTTATGATTCCTCATTTACTTTTTTCCTAGGTGCATTTTAACTAAAAATTTGAGTTACAAATCTCTCCAATATGTCGTTCAAGAATTACTGCTACGGCTATTCAATTCAAATCTCATTTTCACACCAATTGTTGTCTATATTTTAGCTATTTGTTTCCTAAACATTCTAACTGGATTCACAGGCAAAGGAGCGAGTACACTCATTAGTTCAATCTGGAGTCGAGAGTGGTGCCAAGCTGCTGCTTGATGGAAGAAATATAGTGGTAACCTTTATACCCTTAACTGCCATTTTCAACCATCTTATTATATTCTTTTCAAAGAAAAAAGAAAAACATGATAAGAGATAACTAAGCATTTTATTGTGTATAATTTGATTCACTAGCTAAGGAAGCTCCACTTCTTGTCAACCGAAATATACCAGCAAGATAAATTGAAACTTTGAATGCATATATATCTTTCTAATAAACTCTGTAATAGTTTGAAGGCCTAAATAGCATATCTGATTCAGTTCGGTTTGGAAAAAATGTCTTCTAATGATCTGGTACGGTTCGGTTCATATGTGTATGACAAATAGGTCCCAGGATATGAATCTGGAAATTTTGTTGGCCCAACCATCTTATCTAATATCACTACCAACATGGAGTGCTACAAGGTATTTTCTTTCAATCTCCGATCTCAAGGTTTCTACTAAAAAAATTCCTTCAGAAGAGAGAGTTGAGGATTAGATGTATATTAAACTTAACTGTTTAACATGTCACACACAGGAGGAGATTTTTGGCCCAGTTCTTCTTTTTACGGAGGTGTGTGTCTTTAATTCTTCCTTGGAATCTTATTGTTCTATACGGAAATACCAAAATTAAAAAAAAAAATTGTAAAGTATTTCATGATTACATTGTTTTTCTGTTTTGTTTTAATCTTCAGGCTGATAGCTTGGAAGAGGCCATAAGCATTGTCAACAAAAACAAGTACTTACTCAACATGCCGCGATTGTCATTGCCTTTTGTTAAACTGCTATACCATTTGTTTCTAATTACTCTAACAAACTTCTATACCATTTGTCTCTAACCTTTCTAAACAGGTATGGAAATGGTGCTTCTATATTTACTACTTCTGGTGTCGCTGCAAGGAAATTTCAGACCGAGATTGAGGCCGGGCAGGTAAAATTTACTACTTCGTGGAAGCATGTCCACAAATAATAATATGTTTGTAATTTCAACCAGTATATGCATTAGGAGTTTCTATTTATCAACTAATCACATTGCATTTTAACATGAATCTTGAATCAGGTCGGTGTCAATGTTCCTATTCCAGTTCCTTTGCCATTTTTCTCATTTACTGGCAACAAGGCATCATTCGCCGGCGATCTCAATTTCTACGGTAGAGTGATATATTCAAAATTTTGACTCTTATGCAAATCATTTATCACTTGCATTGTTCAAGAGTTACATTTTTCTTATGATATAGGCTATATTGTTTGACTTGAACTTGATAGTATGCTCTGTTGAATTGCAGGTAAGGCGGGGGTTAACTTTTTTACACAGATTAAAACAATAACTCAGCAGTGGAAGGATTCGGTAGGCGGTAGCAAGATTAACTTGGCAATGCCAACCTCTCAAAAATCTTGATAAATTATCAGAGTCATGTGTATAATTTTATTTTCCGTTTTTTATCATTGTACTCCTCAATAAAATGCCTTAGCTTTGCACTCTTGTTGTGTATTTGCTTTTCTTTTTTCTCCTGCTTTTGATCCTCAAATCTTTTTCTAAAGTTATCCTATAAATTCAGATTTACCTTAAAGCTTACCCAAAATTAAATATGTGAAAAAAATGAAATGATTTGCCAGGTGTAAAATTTTACTTTTGTGAGAATGAATTCTCAACATGAAACTATAGTTCTTATAAAATATTACAAAATAAAATAAAAACTTACGTCACTTTTATGAAAATTAATTTTACTAAAATCTCTAAAAATGAAGTACTTCCATCTAAGAATCCTCTGTAACAATGTCAAGGAGGCTTCTTACCCCATTTCCCATTTTCGGCTTCATTTCAAGCAATGCCAATGTCCCTAAGGTTCTTTAAGCTATCAACTTTGCTTTGCATATTAACCAAATGTTTCTTCCCATTTAAGTGAGAGACAACATTATTCTCACAATGAAGGACAACATCACAGACTCTACACATTAGTTTGGAATTATGCATGCTAACAGGCTCAGACATGTTCTTTTGCAGTTTTTCCACCTTATTATCCAACACTACTTTCAACACTTTGTGAACAATACCATCTCCATTCTTGACATTGGAATTTGACATATTGTTAACATTCTTCTGTCTCACCTCCTCTTTGGGCTGATAGATTTTCAGCTTCTGCAGAGCAGTTTGCTTCTTTGCTTTCAAAGCTGCTTCACAACTAGCCATGTGTTTCTTCCCATTGAGGTGCGAAAACAAGGTTGCCTCGCTCGATGTTGTTACCAAACATAAAGCACAAGTCCACTCTTTCTGCACTTCCTTCAGTGTAGAAGAACTCTGAGGAATCTCTCCACCAGCTCTGTCACTCTCTGCTGTTCCTTTGGTTTCTACCATGTCTGGTGATGCCTTTTGACTTACCACAGTATTATTAGCATAGGTTCTCTAGCAACAACAACAATGACAGCAAAAATCATGACCACATCCACGCAATTTATATATAATAAATATATTGTAAGCCTAAATATTTCACATTTGACCTCTTAGCATGCCTCAAGTCTAAAATTTATTGCCTTTGGAAGATTTCTATTTTGAGTGAATGAGACTAATTCTACAGTGCACAATTTTGTTTCCACAACTGAATCATTAAGTTCCACTATATACAACTTGATCCAATGGTGGAACTTATTAACGATAGAAATAAACTTGTGCATGGTACAACACCTACTTCACTTGTGCACAATGGAACTAGCCTATAAATGAATCCTTACTTGCTTGGTTGCAGGAATTTCATTTTTCTCTTTGATGTCTTTGTGTTCTATTTGGAGTCTTTGATCTCCATTTGTCTGCACAAGAAACTCCTTCGTTAAGTACTCTAAATGTCACCATGTGACTGAGACATGTAGATCGACTCATACAAGAACTAGTAACAAGAATTATATTAATTTCACAACACTTAAATAACAAAATTTTACCTTTAGCATTTCTTTATTATCCGTAGGTAAGATTTCATTTGTCACTTCTGCATCCTTTTGTTTCTGAAGAGTAGGTTGCTTCTTTTCTATTAAAGCTTCAGTAGCAGCCCTGTGTCTCCTTCCATTTGTCTGCACAGGAAACTCCTTTAAGTTCTTTAAATGTCACCATGTGACTGAGACATGTAGATTGACTCATACAAGACACAGTAACAATAATTATATTAATTTCACGATACTTAAATATCAAAATTTGACCTTTAGCATTTCTTTATTATCTGTAACTAAGATTTCATTTGTCACTTCTGCGTCCTTTTGTTTCTGAAGAATAGGTTGCTTCTTTGCTATTAAAATTTCTGTATTATCCCTGTGTCTCCTTCCGTTGAGGTGGGAGTTCAAGGTTATCTCGCTCGATGTTGTTACTGAACACAAAGAACAACTCCACTCTTTCTGCATTTCCTTCTGTGTAGAAGAATTCTGAGGAACCTCTCCACCAGCTCTGTCATTTTCCGTGATTCCTTTGGTTACCACTGTGGCTGATGATGCACTTTGACTTGGCCCAACTTTAGGCAGGACAGGAATATCCTGCAACATCCAAATATAAGAAGCTAAAGAATACTGTAATAAAATATCACTATTCAGAACAAAACAGTTACAAACTATGAAGCACGGACACCGGAAACACGACACCAACACTGACATGTCGACACCGGAAACACTGGACCAACACAATGATTGTTAGCAGCTAGCGGGATTCGAACCTGAGAGCCTGAGAGGAGGACACTCTCAAGTCTCAAGCCTTCACCAACAGGCCAACCCTTGAGGGGTAAGCATTGTAGAATTAAAGAAAATTTTGAAAAGTACAAAAAAAAAAACAAAAGATGATACAACTAGTTCACACAGTTCAAAGACTGTCATGTGAATGATATACAACCACTATGGCAGTCATTTAAATAGGAGATTGTGACTATTTTAGTTGTAGATGAAAATGTAGAAACTACCCAAATAAAAGTACAATTAGTCTAAAATGCCGTAACATAAAAATCCAACAAAAATCATCATCACATCCACACATTTATATGCACTTGTAAGACTAAACCTTTCACAAATGACTTCTTAGAAAGCCTCAAGTCTAAAAAAATATTTGTGCTTAGGAGATTTCTGTTAGGAGTGAATATGAATGAAATCTTACTTGCTTGGTAGCAGGAGTTTCTCTTTTCTCAACAGCCTCCAAATCTTTGATGTCTAGGTGCTCAGTTTGGAGTCTTTCTCCATTTGTCTGCACAAGGTCAAGCTCCCTCATTAAGTATTCTATATGTCACCAACAGGTAGAATTGACATATACAACAACATATAACAAGAACTATAACAATGTCACAATTGACTTAACATGAAAACTTTACTTTTAGCATTTCTTTACTATCAGTAGATATGATTTCATTTGTCACTTCTGCATCAGGCGTACACATTATGTTCTACAATATGAAAAAGAAAAGAAAAGAATAAGCTAAAACCTTCAATTATATGCAGATAGAGACATACATAGGTATTTTTACCTTGCTAGCAATGAGTTTCTCTAAGGCTTCAGTTCCATTTTCCCTCATATATCTCTCCGCGTGCATTAAAAATTCATCTTTCTCAACAAAACACTTCCTCCAATAGTTATTAAACCTCCACACGACTATTTGCAGTTTCATGGGGCGAAAAAGGTTATTATAAACATAAGAAGCCCGTCCAAAGTCCGGTATAGTGAGCAAGAAGATGATCATTAGCTTAATGTACAGCCAGAGCCGCAACCTGATACGAAACATGGGAATCAAGTAGTAAAAACTCCATGAATTTGTTTAAAAAAATCAAAAGGGAATCATTAGCAACATTTATTTACATTGAGTAAGGAATTGACCATGGTAGAAGGTTGAATAAAGCATAGTCAAAGAGGTAAATGAATGAAAGAAGTATCCAATATGAGATCAAATTCTTAGTTTCTGCATAACAATCAGTCTCGATTGCATGTATGGAAGCACACCTGTCCAAAAAAAATCAAAAAATGTGAAACAATAATGTAAAAAAGTAGAAACTTTTTGGGCACAAGAAAACCCTAGAATAAGAACTTACAGAGGATACAGGAGAGCAACAAGAGGCCTAGAAAAGTGAAGGAAGTAGAGAAGATAATTGTTGATTAGCATAAATTGGAGGTAATAATGTAAAGATTTATGAGAAAAATGAGAGAGATAAAGGAGGAATACCATGCAAAATGATGAAGGAATTTGAAAGATAGTTTAAGAAAAAATGAAAAAGCCATATGTAACAACATATCCGTGACTCAAAATCAAATTCAATTCAAGCTCTGAATGAGTAGAGGAAAAATAAAGGATCGTGTAGAGTAGTTTAATTGGGCAGGTGAAACATGGAGAAAGTGTGTAGACGAAGCAACTAGGAAACAAGATATAATCGATTAGTAAAGTTTGTTATTTTTAGAGTGTTTTGTAATACAAAAATGTTACTAAACTAAAAATAATAATAACTAATCTTAACAATTTTTTTTCTTTCAAATTTAATCATATATAACATGATAATAAAAGATCGTGGAAAAGGAAAACAGAAAAGGCTGAGCAGTTTAGTTGGAAGGTGAAACATTGTGAAAGTGTGAAGTTGAAGCAACTATTAATCTATGTCAAATTTAAGTCTACTCAAACTTTTATTTTTCTTTACGTTGAATTACTATTGGATAAAAAAATAGTTAGATTAGTAAAGTTTGTTTATTTTTGTTATAATTTGTATTAACAAAAAAATTTAAGTTTTATTTTTTAATTTTTTTTACATATATTAAGAAAATTATTAAATATTATTATTTTTTAAACAATAATTAACTTTTTACTTACAATATTGTTAATTTTTATTAATTTATTTGATTTTTTATCTCTTTATAATAAATATTTCCGACTTAGAATAACACTTGACTTAGAATAATCTAACTTTGCAAATGCCACAATGTTAAAAAAATTTAAAGAGAATTTTATCATCGATTGAGGTTCTACTCGACTCAAGAAAACAATTACACGCAAAAGATATATAATTTCTCCCAACAAAAAAAAGAAGAAATAACACTTAAAAATGAACAAATATTTTTTTCTAAAAAAGTGACTCTTAAAAAAGAATAGATAGTAGTATTAAACTAATAATAATAATAATAATAATAATAATAATAATAATAATAATAATAATAATAATAATAATAATAATAATAATAATAATAATAATAATAATTAATATTTCTTAACAATATTTTTTCTTTCAAATTTAATAACTTATAATATGATATTAAAATTGAAATATGAATAAATTCAAATAGTATTTTTTCCTAAAAAGTAACAAATAAAGGAGGGAGTATTAAACTAAACGTAATAATAACTAATCTTTTTTTTAATAATTTTCTCTTTCAAATTTAATAATTTATAACATGATATTTGATCTTAACGGTTGATCAGAATTTGCAAGGTGGACGGATGATGATCTTTAGACGGGTTGAAAAGTTGAGGAGGAAAAAAGAGATTGTACCTGCAAGGCACTCTGACGATCAAGTAAGTGTGAGAGCAAGAAGAAATACAGACAAAGTATTAGGATTTTAGTGATGAATAGTAAATATTTGATACCTGGTATTGTACCCCAAAATTTGCCCTCCCATATTTTCTCAAAACATTTCAAGAACGATCCTCAAGATCCTCAAGGAAGTCTAAGGGTTGACCAGACAAGCTCTCTCCTAGGGCAGTCTACCTCAAATTAGGGTTTCATGTTGCATCAAGATACTTAAGTCCAAGGGACCCCAAATGCTCACGAATGTCCTAATATGTTCTCAAGATCATCCGTGTCAAGTTTCAAGCCTTGCAGAGGAAGTTTGCTCAGTCAAATGCTCAAAAGCCTGAAAATCGACTGTGCTAGGGCAAAAGTCAACTGTGACCCCCATACAGTCAAACTTCAAGATTTTTGGTCAACATCCTCATTTTGAAGTGTATTTCATCATTTGATTAAGGGTTGATCATTATTCATCAAAGATTGCTCATAATTCATCGACTCAAAAGTTGCTAAATTAGGGTTTTGCAGGAAAAGTCAACTCAACTTTGACCAATCATAACTTTCTCATACTTTATGATAAATGATCCATCCAAAGCTCATTTTGAATAGGATGTCATGCTCTAAAATCCATCTTCATCTCCCAAGTTCAAAATATCACTCACAAGAAGTTATGAATTTGGACATTATAGGTCACTTTGAAAAGTCAACAAAAACACCTTTTTTGTCAAAGCTTCACACATAAGCATGGAATATCAAATTGAGATGAGACCAAAAGGGTTGCTTATAGGACATCTCAAGATTTCTAAAAAGTCCAAGAACACCTTCAAAGAGTCAAAATTGAGGATGTTATGCATTGAAGAAGTTGACCTTTTTTGCAAAATTGCCAAAAGTCAACTATGCCTAAAAATGCAATTTTTGCTAAATGGGCCCAATCTTTTTCACTTGTTTTGAGTTGCCAACATGGTCCACAAGCCCCAGCCTTTGTCACTTGCTGTTATCTTATTTTTATTATTTATTTTGATTTTTATTTGAATTAAATCATTTTAAATCAAAACAAATCATAGAAAATCCAAAACATTGAAATTCAAAGATTTGGTACATGTTTCAGGTCTTAATATCCAGCTAGCATGAGATCAAATTCGTGTAAAGGCATGGGGTGCACAAAAAGATTGGATTAAGCCTATTTTTGGAAGGATATTCAAGTGTATCAAATCAAAATCAAAATCAATAATGGAGGAAGATTATGATCATATTGACAACCCTAATCCATTCCTCAATACATAAAGAACGTGTGCAGACCCAAAGGGAGGCTAGAGAGAGGCGCAGCAATCAGAACCAAACTTGAAAAAAAACAAGAAAAAGTGCAAACACGAATTCATACTTTGAAGCAATTTCAAGATCCTTAGACCATCTCAATCGCTTCCTGGGAGTGTAGGCAAGCAAAAGCAATCCAGAACAAGCATTTCCAGGCCTTGAAACTCACTGTAAGTCAACCACCATCTTGGGCTTTTCTTGAATTCGAATTTCATGATTTAGACATTGATAGCATGGATTAATCATATATTCATGATCCTTAGAACATTTTCAAGCTTTCTGTGATCTTTAATTGTGTTTTCATGGCCTGTATAAGGTTTCACCATTATTAGGGTTTGTAGCTTCGATTTGGGAATTCTGTGTGCAGGCAAAATTAGGCCATGAAAGGGCCACTATTATACTCAGGAGGTCCAGACGAGTTGATTGGTGGCCCTAGTTTTTATTTATCTTGCTCATGGTTGATTTTAAGAGAACGCATGTTTGTAGTGACGGACGAATGTCCGTAGGTAAAAGTCTGGGACTTTTACCCACGGAGAAGGGAAGAAGATGATTAGATGGCACTTTTCCATTAGATCATTTGAAAATTCGCGCGCTTTGGACTTAGTGCTTTTGCTTTTTTTCATATTATGATTATTATTTATTATGTGTACAAATCAGAAGCGTAGCTCAGCTGGTTGCCAAGTGTTGGAAAGTCCCTTAGGGCCTGGGTTCAAATCCCAGGTCCCCCAATTTGCTTCATGTTATTTTCTTTTCAGTGATTACATGCGCGCACAAGGCCAAGGTCCATCATGTGACCTCATCATCCAGCTTGCCAGATGGCCAGACGGCCAGATCCAAGGGCCATCCATGAGGGAGCACCAAACGCCTAGTCAAACGCATAACATGGGATCTCAAAAAGTCAAGCGTGAACCTCATTCTACTTGGGCCAGATTGTTGTTCACACACCCCAAATCTCCAAACCAGGCCCAAGTTTCTTACCTTTTTCTTTTTTTATATTTTATTTTATTTTATTAATTTATTTGTTTTACTAATAAATTTAATCTTTTTTTTAACCAATCAAAAACTCATAAAAATATTTTTCACCCAAATTAGGTTTAGATTTTATTTTTTATCAAAAAATTAAATTAATTTAATTAGGTTGTTAATTTTAGGTAATTTTAATTATTTTGTAAATAACTTAAAAATAATTAGAAAAATTAGGGTTTTGTCTAAACTTAATTATATTTTCTTTTTTCTTAAAATAACAAAAAACACAAGATTAGGTTAAATAATCATTTTCATTAATTAATTTAACTAGCTAATTAATTTAGTATTTAATTTAAAACCTAATTCTTTTCTTAAAAAATATTAAAAACAACAAAACATTTTTCTTTTAATTAGGTTAAAAAAGGGTCAAAACCCTAATTTTTTCTTATCATTCTAATTTCATCGCGCGTGCTTTATTATTATTTTTACCATATTGATGTAACTGCCCACAAGTTGTAATAGTTTAAATAGGACTTTTATTTTCATTTATCGCTTTATTTTTAAGGGTTTGTTTTTGGCTATTTAAATACCCGAAGCCTTGTAATAGCGTAGTCTAATTTCTGCACTTTAAATTCCGCAAAATATTAAACTGTTAGATGTATGATATTAGGATGCATGACAAGAATGTATGTAAACTTTAAAACAGTTAGCAAACCCTAAATGTGCAAAGATAAATAATCTGAAATTGAATCACTCGCACATGCGCACTCCTAGGGTACACTCCCACTTGGTTGCCTTCGGTAAATGGTCATTGGGTATAGGATGCTTTAGAGGTCTTCCTTTTGTCTAAACAAAGATCAAAGTCCCGTTCGGAAAAGTTGCCTCGGAATGGTTGCCTCAGAATTGTTGCCTCGAATAATTGATCTAAGACATTAGGGTTACTACTAAGACGTCATAACATTGCTTTAGTGACCGTACGTCCCTTTCGAATTGACCCTTAAAACTCCAACGACGATGCTACCTACTCACTAATAGTGGGATAGCATTGTCTAAAGGAAACAAACATAGAACAATTCTCTTTTTTCGAGTAGGTAGATTAGTTCTTAAGTACTTGCTCAATCCAAACAAAATTTTTCACACTTACACTCCTCTTCTAAACAAAGCTTTCAAAAACACTCCGTAACACTCTTGAAGACAGAAGCAAGAGTTAAATCGAAGTAAAATAAAACTTTTCAAACACACGAACACGAAAGCAATTTTTAAAATGATGAGAAAGTACCTAAGAGCTCGTGGAAAACCACTGATAGAAAGGGTGTTAATACCTTCCCTTTCTATAATCTACCCCCCGTACTCAAAATCTCGAAAAAGGGAATTTTTCTGTGCTTTTTTCCTTTCCTTGTTGGATAAAATAAAAGTCGGTGGCGACTCTTGCTTACCGCGACATTTGCG